TGAGTTTCCGTTGTCAACTTATCCCTTTGCTTGTCTTTGATGCCGATGACTTTCTCCTAATCCTGCACAAATCAAAGCTGGCGCGATGCAATCCAGTTGCATATGGTACGTATTGGTAAAGTGCACGCCACTGTGTCTGTATCAAAAATCTTAGATTTGGGCATTTTTGGTGAGACAGCTTTGCTGTTGCCCGGTTCAATAGCACGCCTGACCTAGGGGGCCTTATGTGGTTCACCACTCCGATTCCCGGGTCTTGGTTTGTCGGTTACCATCACTGAACGGGAGGTCCTTGTGACTCTGGAGTTCCACCCTGTCTACTGTCCATTACATACCGGTGTGTAATAAGAAAAAAATTTGAACCCCTAGGCATCATTGGTTCATGTGGTTAAGAAAGTGTTGTTTCCGGATCTCGATTGATCTCAATGTACACACAACAAGATATCACACGATGACACACAAGGAAAAGACGTACCTCAACGGCCACACTAATCGTCTAGCCTTTTTGCCTAACAGAAAGCGACCCATTACATATAGCGGGAACTCAACCACTCCGGATGTCACCGTCGCGAGGAAACAACACACCTGATTGACGACGTAATACACGAGCTTCTTCAAGCTTTATAAGTGCTACCTATCGTTTCACAGCTTACCGCGCGTTCAGACTTCCTTTTAATCAAAGCGACTATGTTTACAATATTTGTTAGTTTTATCGATTTTGGAATCGACGCTTTTAGTTTGCTTCCCTTGTAATTCGAATGCTGCTTGCTTTTTTTGCGGTACTGGGTTAGATTCAACGGTTATAGATAATATTTCGGTGACGAATGGCACACGGTCTTTTTCAACCTTCGTTGTTTGTATTGTACCCACATACTGTGTAGATTTCAAGTGAAATGCACCTCTCGACAAAAATATCGAACCCCTATTTTTTATGATTTCCACTCCCACATACACGGTCATCATCGTTTTTGAGAATCTAGAAGGGAACCAAATGGTAAACCGAAATACGAAATTTCATCAAATTATTTGCGATCTTAACGAAAATACATGGAAAAAAAATTTCGCCGCAACAAAAGTATAGTACTGCCCATAGACTTCACATAACCAACTGGGCTTGCAAACCACTGCGATAAGACATCTGAAGTTTTCATCTCTTCATATCGTCTGATCACAGTGGTCGACAGACAGCTACGGTCATGTCATCATCATCATCGTCGTACTGCGAAATACAGTAAGGCGAACTTCACTTGTCGGTCTTTTGACACCCTAGTGACGGTGATAACATGCCCACGTCACTTTTAATGAACTTGAAGGAACAAAATATCCAAGTAGGTTACTACAAAACATTGCCAAGCATGGCGCGTTGGGAAAGCGTTTCTGATAACGATAAATCCAGAATTGATGCCTTTTAAGAGTTCAGTGTCAATACATATGAGGTAGCCAGATAGTGTAAGAGGTCCCCCGTCACTATGGCATCATATTGGAAGCGGAATAAGTTAAAACGGATTAGACGCCCGAAAAAGCCCACAGAAACAAAAGCGCATTTTGAGAAAGTTCGATACAATGTTTACAATTTCTAACCATGCGTCTCTGTGCAGTGGTTTTGGTGCCATATGTGACCTCAAATGGTCAAACGGATGAAGTACCGGAAAACGAGCTCTTCAAAATGCTTGTCGTGGGCTGAAACCCCTAACATAACTTTGTCTACCTTAACGACAAAAACAAATTCAGCTTAGATGGGTTCGGCTTGTGGGACAGTTACTGGTATGATATGCGGAAAGCAGATGGTACTTCAGTAAGCGGATCAACGATGTGATGGTAGGGGTGCCTTCTGGAGGTGGCACAGTGGTTTAGTCGCCATCACTGGCGTACTCTGGACCCTATGGTCCGAGCATACCGCCACCCAACTTTGTTGGTAGACAGCTTTCCTGTCTTCCGGTTCAATACCACGCCGAAACTAGCCGGGCCTTATGTGGTTAGCCACTCCAAGTCCCAGGGCTTAGACCACCGGTTTCCATGACGGAGCAGCAGGTCTTCGTAGCCATGGGGTTCGCCCCGTCTGCTGTTCACCACACAAACGTGTGTTATAAAGAAACGGCTCAAACATACACCTTAGAATGCAATATTTCAATGCATATGGTCGTACAGTGAGACAGTCGATGACATCAAATGTCCCTACTGAAGTAATTTTCCCGCCAGATAACACCGAAGCTCATAACTAATAAAATACTAGCGTCAAAACACTAATTTGGACTGCGTGTGGATTTGAGCCCAGTAAAAAACATTTCAGAGTTTACGCCAGGAAACATGAATTAGAAATCTTTTTCACTAGAGAGTGCAATATTATAGACACGGACATGATTCGAAATCGTATACAGAACATTAGAGCGGCATCAAAGAGTGAAATACTTTTGCTGTCGGGTGTATATATGTATAGTAGTGTAAAACGGATGACCTTAAAAGCATTTCCCTCATTACATTTGCTTTAACAATGTAAAAACTTTCAAATTGACGAATATAATTCTTATGGTATGACCGAATGAGCATCAATTGACATGAATCCCTCCCAAGGTCTCAGTATGGTTGGGGGTGGGAGTCTAGGGTTGCGGCTGGTCACCGTGCCCTTGCACCTCACGAAATGCCCCCATACGACCAAACGTCTCAAATAGCCTCTGCTGAGGAAGCCCTACTCACTGCCTTCTCGCGGCGGTGTTTTCTCACCAAAGTGAGAGGACGAAAAGCCGATATCCGGGTTGGTGGACCACTGGCAGTTCACCTAGGGGAGTTGGCTAAAAACCCTGATTCCAAACCAACCATGAGGAGACGTACGAACCACACCCACAACTTTTCGGTTGTGGCAGTGGTCACCGGCTCGATTGGGCATTTTGGTGTATTGGGCACC